TGCCATATGTGATATAAGTAAATTATCTAAAAAAGATTCTAGAATGTTTAAACAATCTTTTCAGGAAAATGTAAGGTGAACGTTATTAAATTCTGTTAAATTCTGTTAAATCTGGTGAATTAAATATGAATCATTCACTGATTTATAATGAAGAGTAGCTATTCTGCCTGACAACCAAATATCCAAACTCTCTATCAGCTCCTGGGTAGAAAGCCAGGAAATGGCATCTGAAGTCCCAGAATTTGTGAGATTAAGGATCTTGGATTTGATTCTGGGCTTATAAGTCATTTTTTTAAATACAAAATTTGGTTTTGGAATGACATGGGAAGAAAAGGCTGTTTAAGAACATGTTAAAGAATACGGATTCCACTTGGCCTCTTAGTAACTTGAATCTTTGCAGGCTTATGTACAGTTTGTTACAATTAAAAAGGTCCATGCATAGGGTGTTAGGAAAATTCTGTGGCCTTGAAGGAGCTGAGCCCCAGGGAAAGACTTCTGACTGAGAGAAACCTAGCTCTGAACTTGGATGCCTTGGCAGAACTGCATTGCCCAGCACCAGGCTGGCGGTGTCATTGGCTGGAAATAGGGTATATGTGCTCCAGTTTGTAAGAGGTCACATTCTGGGCCAGGAGGCAAAATAAATCTATGGTTGATAGATTCGAGAACAGCGGTTGCCTGCAGGGGTTAGGAGTTGACTAGGGCGGGGCATGAAGGGGACTTTCTGGCGTGATAGAAACACTCCATGACCTCACTGAGGACATACCCATTTCTCTAAACTCATGTCTGAACTGGACATGGATGATATGTGCATTTCCCTGCATATAAGTTTTTCCTTATAAAACAAAAATCAAAGGTCAGTTGAAAAAAGTCCACGAGCTAATTAAAACCCCTTAAAACAGGCTGAATTCTTTAAAATGAGCAAAACTACCCAACTGTGCACCGATGGATGAATGGATAAAGAAGATGTGGTATATAGATACAAGGGAGTATTACTCGGCAAGCAGAAAGAATGAAAGCTTGCCATTTGCAACTGTGTGGATGGAACTGGAGGGTGTTATGCTAAGTGAAATTAGTCAGTCAGAGAAAGACAAAAATCATATGACTTCACTCATAGGAGAACTTTAAGAGACAAAACAGATGAACATAAGGGAAGGGAAGCAAAAATAATATAAAAACAGGGAAGGGGACAAAGCATAAGAGACTCTTAAATATGGAGAACAAACAGAGAGTTGCTGGAGGGGTGGTGGGAGGGGGGATGGGCTAAATGGGAAAGGGGCGTTAAGGAATCTACTCCTGAAATCACTGTTGCACTATATGCTAACTAATTTGGATGTAAATTTAAAAACAAAAATCAAAAAACCCAAAAAAAACCAGTCGCATCTTAAACTCACTGAGTTGTGCACATTAAATAAGTATAGCTTTTTGTATGTCAATCATTCATCAATAAAGTGGTTTAAAGAAATAAAAAAAAAATAAAATGAGCAAAACTAAAAAGGAAATTCATCATTTTCCTTTAGAGGAAAATGGACGGTGTCAAATAAGTGCACAAAGACAAGCTCCCAAACAGAGCATTTTTAATCAAAATAATAATCAGTTTAGACATAGCTAGACCCTCATGTCTCAGAGTGAAGGAACCATTTTTTTAAAAATGTTTATTTATTTTTGAGAAAGAGAAATAGAGCATGAGTGGGGTAGGGGCAGAGAGAGAGGGAGACACAGAATCTGAAGCAGGCTCCGGGCTCTGAGCTGTCAGCACAGAGCCCGATGTGCGGCTCAAACTCACGAACTGTGAGATCATGACCTGAGCCAAAGTGGGATGCTTAACCGACCGAGCCACCCAGGTGCCCCTGAAGGCACCATTTCTAGTACTATAAGCTGTTTTGGAAATATTTCCGCACGTATTTTCTTTCAGGTCTCTATTGTAGGAATCATGTTTTTATAAATGTAAAATGCTTTGAATAGAGCTGGAGAAGAAGCTATGTTCAGTCATAGTATTATCTGGTTATGAACTAAGAATTCAGAGCTCTCTTGTGAGTCATGCTGCTAAGAATTGTAGGCTTAATCTTCAAGACTGTATGAATTTGAATTTTGACTTTATGGCCTTGGTCGGTATGAGGATACAAAGATAATCTTTTAGCAAAACACTTGAAAATGGTAGAATGTTACATGGAAAGCTAGCTTTTAGAGATGGCTGGTGGATAAATTTGCTGTTACTTTTTTCTTTTAAGTATCTGGATTAATCAATTAGCCAGTATGTGCTGACCTGATATGACCAGGCACAGTGCTAGGCACGCAGCGAATTCCCAAATAACTCTCGGCAGACTGTTCTCAAGGAGCTTCTCAGCAGGACAAGGGGATTAAACATACATATAAATAATTTGTTCAAGGAAGAATGTAATAAATGCATGAGAATACCACTGGCGTTCAATGGAGAGGAAGTTCCTTTTAAAAAAGGAATCAAGGAAGACATTATGGGTGTGGTGGCATGTGGGCTGGGCCTTAAAGAAGAGCGTGCTTTCCCCTGACAGGGCAGCAAACGGGGGTTGTGGGCAGAGAGAATGTCATCAGGAAAGCTGTGAGTGTCGGAGCATAAGGGTTTTGTTGGGCTGCAGCACAGGCTACACTTCGGAGGAGATACACTAGGCAGGAGAAAGTCCTGAACTCCGGGGGAAGCTACGATCTGGGTAGAGGTACAGCCGGGTCATGAGAAGATGGATCCTGAAGCAGTAAGGACCAAGGAAGTAAAAGGCGACAGAATCTAAGTAGAGGGAAGGAAGAGGCAGGCAGGTCGCTAGGAGGCTCTCCCAACAGGTCAGGTAATGCGGCTGAAGGAGAATGATGGAAGTGGGGGGACAGGGAGAGGCAGCAAGTCTAGAATGCTCAGCAACGTGGAAGACAAGAGAGGGAGGGACAGCCGTCACAGGAAACTGAGAGACCGTCGTTCGCCGACAGGAGGGACAGTGATGCTGTTCATAGGCCAGAGTGGAGAGGAACGTCATGTTTGTGGGAGAGAGGATGATGACTCATTTTGAGCAAGCCAGCAATGCCCAGGAGACGCTGGAAAAGTGAGTCTGGATGCACACTCAGTGGTGGAGTTGGAGAAAGAGACGTGGCCCTTCTTCGCCCACAAGTACCTGTAAGTCACGGCAGCGGGTGAGCATGTCCAGCGTGACAGTGTGGAGAGAGAGGGAAGAGGAGAGAGCTGGGAGCTAGCCGGACTGTGAGGCTGTTTGCCAGAAACACTGAAAGAAAATTGGCAAGGTGCCGGACCTCCCCCAGCCCTGTCCCCAAGCCTGGGAGATGGACCAGGAAGAAGAAAGAGAATGTGGAGAGAAAGCATTCAAGAAAACTGCTTTTAGAGGACTAACCCTGATTGCTGGTCTCAGAATAATCAAAGCCTATGATTATTTGCAGATTCCCCTCCCTCTCTTTCTCTTTTTTTCCCCTTCTTTCTTTCTTTTCTCCCCTCCTTCCTTCCCTTCCTCTTCCTTCCTTGCACGTTCTTGTTTTATTTTGGACTGGCCTACGGCATGGGTGGCCACTGTTGACCTAAGGAGGAGTTAGGATTCACCACTGTCACCTACAAAGGGGTAACTGTCTTTTCAATATTTGTCTTTACAGCTGATTGTGGAGGAGGGAGAGCATCTCTGCCCCACAGTTGTAACACTTGGGCTCTGTTAAAGCATGACGCATATATTTGCGATGTGACAACATTAACATTTTTCTAACTCTTTTTTATACAACTTTTTACTTCTTTGTACTGCTCTCAAGAGCCACTCATAATATCTTGGTAACTGCATGAGATCCCAGGGCCAGAGACTGGCCACTCCTGGCATTGTGATTAGAGTCATTTAATACCCAAGGCCATGACTAACGTCTGGCAACAAAAGCTCCTCTAGGTGTCACATGTCCTGGGACCTTGGGTGAGGGCAAAAAGGGAGCACCTTATTATTGTGAGTCAGTACCATGGTCAAGAGAAAAGTCGAGGACCAGGCGGGTCCATCCAGGGCACCGCTGAGAAGTGACAGACCCTCACCACAATCGATACCCGTGCAACCAGAAAGCCTAAAATCAGTTTCAAGTAGCGATACCCACCTTTGTCTTATCTTCATACCCAGGCTTTTAATAATATATATCTATTTTTTTGTATGTTTACAGAAAGCAGTCAACTGAGCTATTCGTGGAAAGGTTTGTGGGTTTGGTTAACGAGGTGGAGGAGTATTACATTTCAGCTGGAAACACATCCCTAGAATGCCAAAACATTTATTCCAAAGTCTGGATTCCTGGTGCAGTCGGAGGCACACGGCAATAGTGTGTCTGTTCGGAGGCTGGGGCGGGGGCGGTGGGGGGGGGGGAGGGCTGGGGCCAGCAAAGCATTTGATCCGAGTGTATTCCAGAAGGCTTTTATTGTTAAATTACATTCTTCAGGAAAAACCGCCCGTGTCACATTTTGTAAACTTGATATCCATACACTTTTGACTGGCATTCTATTTTAGCCATAAGCCTATGATTTACAGCAAGCCTGTTTTCCCTCTTGCTTAGGGTGGCAGCAGAAAGCTTGGGGCGCTCTCCGGGCTCCAAGGATGAGGAGCAAAAGGCGCCCGGGTTTTGCTTCTCCCCAGTAACGCTGACCCTGGCTGTGCCACTCTGCTGTCAGGGAGCAGACAGCAAGCTTCTCCTCACTCCCCCCTGCCATCCATCCAGCTGGGTGCAGCAGCTCGGGCTGCCGTGCCTGCCGGGAGGGGCTGCCAAGTGCCCTGCCTACTGGCTGCCTCCCGAATCCCTGCCATTGCACACACAAACACATCCACACACGCTCTGCCTCGCTCACACACGGAGCTACACGCACATGCGAGCGCATTCCTCCCTTCATTCTCTGTCTCAGCCCCTGACTTCCACAAGCCCATGGAACATTTCTGGAAAGACGCTCTTGATCCAGCAGGGTAGGGTTGTTTTGATTTCTGTCTTTGTAGCTTTAGCATTTTGAGAAAGCAACTTACCTTTCTGGTCAGTGTCTGTATCCTGGCAGGGAGATGAGGATTTGCTGCTTTCAGTTGGTTTCTGTGTGTATCTCCTTTTCCTTCCAGGACTTGTAGGATTCTTTGTGTAATTTATGTATAATTGGGTGGGTACTGATTTTTAAGAGCCCTATGAAGTGCTTTTGCATGTGTTTAAAAAAGACATTTGAAAATTGGAAGTGTGATTTATGGAAACGAAATCATCTGTAAAAAAATTGCTTTGGAAAGTAATGGTTGCTGGCCATAAAGAGACATATCTGTGATTCACCTAATGTGTTTTTAACCCTTTCTTTGCCTACAGTCTATGGCTATTGATGCTAAGCTCAATTTCGTCTTCATATTAAACTAACTACATCTTCATATTGTCCAAAAATCATCTGTCTGTTCTTGTAAGAACTAGGTAAAATGTGTACTTATCAGTATTAAAAAAAAAACAAAAACAAAAACCACCTACTCTTAGTAACAGCAACCTTGGCATTTATCTGTGCCACGAACATTTTGTTGGGTACTCTGTTGGGTGTTTTGAATAGCAGTTAAAGCAAAGCATCGATGATCATATCAGGTAGTTGTATCAGAGTCTATTAGGCTGGGGCAAAGGAAGTTTATCACAAAGTAGAAATTACCGAGGATTGTGGGTGCACAATATATTACCCATATCTTTTGTGTGGTGTATACAGATATATATGTTGTTTGTGTGTGTATGCTTAGATTTTAATTCAGTTACAAACTTTTTTCTATTTCTTTTTCATCTGAATATTTGATTCTGCATAGCCTAGCCGAAGTGAACGGAAAAGGTCCAGTTATAGGACTAAAGAACAGAAATGTAGTATTGCACGTCAAAATTTGTTGGTTAGACCACCAGTGTAACATAGTGGCCAAAGAGTTGGTTAATGAATTGAGGTTACGTTTCGTATGAAAAGGTCACATTTCATATTCAACTTTCTGAAGTTTTGTTGCATAACCTGTGGAGGACACGAACACCCATGTGTGCCTAACCAGAGGTTTTTGTGAATCATCGTTCACATGAGAATTCATAATGGGAGCAAGTACAGTACTGTGGTCCAACACAAACATGCAAGCCAGGCTGGGAGCATCTCAGAAGGTCGTGGCTAGAAGACCACTCTGGGGCAATTCTGCAGATGAGGAAACTGAGGTCTGGCACTGTGCTTCTGATGGCAGAGTGCAGCTCTTCCTGTAGGTACACCTTTGAATCTGCGTCCCCCGGCCCCCCCCCCCCCCCCCATGTCTCCTCTCAGTGCCTGCAGCTGCTAAATATAGCTGTCTGTGGCTGGCCGCACATGCAACCGCACACCCCATTCTATCTGCCATATCTCAGTTACAGAGTGGCCCTCCCCAGGGTCATTCTATGTACACACTACATATTTCCAGCCAACTAGGAGAGTGAATCAAACAGAAAGAGAGACAAACAGAGATAGAACGAAGTCTGGCTTGGGGCACAAAAGGCAGCACCGGACAGAAAGCCGGGCCCCTGGATTAGGCTCGCGAGTTTGTTTTAAACCTCGTCTTCCCTGGGCCACCTTTAGGAGATCCCGCTGCGT